TTTAACATCCAGTTTTAGACTTTTAATTTCTATATATAATAAAAGGAAGAGTCTATGTGTGCGTGCCTTTCGTTCGTGCTGCGCAGAAGCTAATAGACACAGGGCTACGAAATTTGGTACATAGGTGCAAGACAAGAGCTAGTGCACCTCGAAGCAATGTTTTCAAAATTCGAATGAGGGTTTTTTTTTTTTTTTTTTTTTTTTTTTTTTAATGTTTTTTTATGAAGTTGCATCAAATCGATGGCATGCAGCCATTGTTGCTGATATCAGCGCTGTCGCCACTCGAAAAAATGAGGGTATTAATTTTGTACGGTTTTTAAATTTAATGTTTCTCTTGGATACGATGTTTGTCGAGAGGACGTTTGTTTTCCGGTACATTTAAAAGCCAGACGAGGGCTAGCTGCATAGCGGCTAGTAATAAATAAATGCTTAAATAAACACGGAAAGCCTCAAAGTGAAAATAGCGGAAGGAAAAAAAATGTCTGTTAAATAGCAGTTTGAAAGTTCTAATCCAAAAGGTTTTTATTCGTCGTCTTCATACCAAGCATCCATTAGTTAAAAAGTACTGCATGTAAAATGGGAAGTAAAAAAGTACAGACAGAGTATTACGATGGAATTAAATTTCACACTTTATGGTGATATTTCAATGATTAAACTTATTGTTTTTTCCTGTTCAATTGAATTAGCTGACATTATAAAGGGAAAGATTATTGTTTAAAAACATCAAAAAGCTACTGATATTTGACAGATAATCTGTGAATTTCTAATCATAAAATACTATATACTTCTGAGTTCAATCTATCAGGAAAAGAGGAAATGATAATCCTAAATAAACTTGTTTAATCGTTCTCTAATAGTCTACCTGGTGACGTAAAAAGAAAATACACTACCAAGAGCATTCTTGAATACCGCTCTAACTGCATAACAGATTATACCTTTTATATAATCAGTAGAACTTTTATTACGGTCATCAACTTTTAATCTTTAAAGCTTAATCCACTTCGTCGACCCTTTAAAATTCATCGATCACGTTATTATCTTAGCTTAAATTATATTCGAGGAAATTTTTTCTAGGAATTTCGAATTGACTTTTAAGATCCTGTTTTACTTCCAGTGAAGACGTACACATGTAGTAGGCAGTAGCGATTTTAGAAATCTCTATTTTTGTCTCGCTTTACATGAAAATACAGTAGGATTAAAATTTAACAAAGTAATTTTTACGGCATCTGCATAGTTAAACGTCATACCATACGGTAATCATTCAAATGATTGTCAGAAAAATAGCCATTTTATGCTTCACTAATGTGAGTTAGCTTTATCAATATTATAAGTCGGGATTTTTTAACATTATTTTCTATTAGGATATGTGGTAATAATAGTACTAATTTTTGACAGAACCTGGATAAAATATTAACCTGGAATGCTATCTCATATGTAACGTTTAAAGGAAACATTTAGCGTTTTGATGAAAAATATCGATTTATTTGACCCATATATGTGTACCTGGATTTAGATTGGTGATTTTGATAGAAAAATTTCAAAGCATGCATTAAGTAACTTCTCCTTAATAAGCAATGGACTTCGTATATACCCGTATATTCCAAAAGAAAACGAATTATTTTTTAAGAGCAAAATCTTCATTTAACCAGATAGTGTAATTAAAGCTGTTACATCTCTAATTTTCTATTCGACAAGTATTTGGTTTCTACATTCTTTTAGTATTATCTATTACTTAAGTTCATAGATAAAGCTTTCCGTTACTGTTCTTATTGTATCTGAAAACTGATAATACGTACAACATTTTCTTTTTAAGTAATGTATGATCCAGATATTTATTCCATCTGAGTTTAAAATATTTATATAGATTTATAACAATATATTTTAGCTATTTTTCTTCACGGGTGAAGTAGCGGGTTTAAGTAGTAATTTTTTATTTCTCCACTAAGAAATGTAAACTAACTTTATCATAATTATGTTAAGCTTCTCCAAGTTTTTATAATTTTTTATGTAAAATACGGCTGTAAAGGCTATACTCCTTGACGCTCATAAAATAGTGAGAAGCACACCACATGTTAACTATTGTCATTTACGAGTATATTCGAGTATTTTTAAGAAAAACGTACTATCGATTCTTTCGTAACTAAAATGTTCTAGCCACAGATCTTCCCAATGGAACTGGTTCTGAATTCTTAATAATTGTCTTTTTTCAGTGATTTTTAAGACAAATAAATGAAGTTCTGTTTATTTGTAAAAGCTGTCTATCACATACTATATTTCCCAAACAAGATTTGTTGCCAGAAATTTATATCAATCACAAATACAAAGACCACAACTTCTTTAAAATATGTGGTCATTTAAGTGGACAAATTTTATTAATTTTTTTAATGTAGTTTGACTCAAATATACTTGAGCATTTAAAATGGAAAAGGCCGGATAATTTTATGTAACACGATGTTAGATTATAAAAGGTGTGTCTCTTATTAAATACTCTTTACTTTTGGAATTCTATTTCAAATAGTAAAGTGGGCCCAAGTTATGTTCCTCATTAAATATTTTTATGTTTCGTGAGTGACTTTCCTTTCTGTAAAAATGATGCGAATTCTTTCAATCAAATCAGTAAAGTGGCCTTTAAATATATTTCTCAAGCACACGCAGAATTTAGACGAAGTTTAGGAATTTTTTTATCCCCTTCTACTTCTGTTTTACAAAATCAAGAACTTAAAAGCTGAAAGATGTTTCTTTAAAAAAAAGAAAAAAGTTCTGTGTATGTTGTTCATTACATATACAGAACTTTAATGCCTTTTATTATCAGCATTTTTTGTTTGAATGAAATTCTTTTACGGAGTTACTATAAAAACAATTTACTGATTGCTGAGACAGGTAATTATTAATGCTAGTCTAAGAACTCGTTTAAAGACAGCCTAAGAATTCATTTAAATTAAACTCATTAGAAAGAACTGCTATGGTAGAAAGAGCAGCTGTAAAAGAAAAATTGCTCTTATTTATTACATAAACAGCATTCCTAACACGCTAAACGCTCAGATCCTACCTAAAAGAAGGGGGCAAAAAATACCTCGGTTTTTGTTCAGTATGTTTTCAACTTAAACAGGAATACTGCTCTTTTGATATCAGCTACTTTTTAATTTGTCTATTTACATTATTATTACGAACAATTAGGACTGAAGACTATTTCTTTCTTAAATTTTATTTAAATCCTCGTTTACTTTATTAAAACACAAAATTCAGTTTGATTTTGTTTTATCACATTTTACCCTTAATGTATGTTTATTTACTTCATGTACAGTTTAGACTGCACTGAGATGTGGTCGTAAATCGTGGTAATACCTAAGGTAATGAAATAACCATGTTAAGCATTGATGCATAGTATGCTAAGATACAAAATTTACTTCTAGTACAGCATTTCAACATTTAAATTACTTTTAAAAGCAATTCAAGCCCAAATTCTACTCGTTAACTTATGTTTATTAGTTTTAAAATTTCAACATTAGATAATATTTTATAAAGTGTTTCGCAGTCTAAAACCTGAAGTTATGGTGAGAGTAAACGATAATTATTAACAAAAGAGAAAAGGAGAAAAAAATCAACATACACACTAATATTACTGAGAAATTCTAATCACTCCAATTAGAATATTTTTTAGGAGGATGCTCTTGAGTTTTAGATTTAGACTTCGTAATGTAAAGTAATCGGACTCGGATTACTATTCTACTGCACATTGAAAACAGAAAACTATTAAGTATTACTCTCTATATTGTAATGGTTACTTTTAGATGGGACAGGTAACTAACTTCTGCCATGAACAAACATGCTCCGATAAGTGGATTACACATTTTTGAAATGGGATATATATTTTTAACTTATAATTAACACAGTTGAAATAGTACTGTAGAAATAAGCATCATGAGAGTCATTTATAATTAAATTTTCACTTTAATTACTCCTTGAGCCATAATTTTTATTGCTGGAGCGGCTTAATTAAGTGCTCGATCCTTTACAACATTCTGAATTAGCTTTTGAAAAAGGTTATTTTATCTCGTTAAACTGTTTATGTCAGAAATAAAGAGATTAATCAGTCTTTGTTGATGTCAAGTTTTCTAATGTTCAGATCTATACAAGACGATCGAGAAGGATAATGCAATACAATTATCTTCACACTACAACAAACTTAATTAAAAAAAAAATAGTTTTTTATTTATAGACTATATTTTCGTATTTTTTTTATCACCTCAGGTTTTTAGCGCCAAATCAAATAGTCTGAATGAACGAATAAATTGAGAATAATGATAAAATATAACTTTTCAAAAACTCATATTTATTTGCTTCCACGATTAAAAAGTTTCAGCTAGGTACTGAAGTCATTCTCTTTGCTTATTTAAATTATTATATTGAATTCCTAAAATTTAAGCGAATTTTCTTCACTAGTTTAATATTTTATTTTCATTAGATGATAAACTTTTATATAGCTCCATTCGGTTAGAATAAGTTTACGTTTTCCTTTCAAAGAGCAATTCTTATAAATAGAAGAAATAATGAATAATAATTGTAGTATCAATATTATAGCACTGTCCTATAGCAACAAATGTAACATCAGTATTTCTCCTAAAAAGAGAAATAATGCATAATAATTGCAGGACTTATTGTTGAAGATCTGTTTTCATGTGCAGCTATATTTTGTATAAAATTTTTATTCCTTGTTTCGTCTCCTTCGATTAAAAAGAGTCTAACATACTCTATATAAAACAGAGCTTTTGTACAGAATATAAACAAAGTTTACACAGACTATTTTCCAAATAATTAAAATACAGAGAGCAAGAGAAAAGAAAAAATACTGGTTCATTTATAATAATTTGTTTGACTTTGTAGCCTACTGAATTTACGGTTACCTTTAAAAATGATGAAAGAGAGAATTTTTATAAGCGGAGAAAGAGTAAATGCGTTTTAATAATTGCTTCTGTAGAAAGATGAGAAAATGTATTCACCTTTAACTCCATCTTTGCTACTCCTACCAAAGGGATCAGGAGACCTTGCCGTCCAGCACGTACTTCGATACCGGGAGGAGCCCGTAAACTTTTCCGGGTCCAGGATGTCATCGACGGAGAAAGGCGTGTGCACCACGCCGCTTCCCTTGTCTCCTTCGCCGCAGGTCTCTTCGTCCATGGTACCGGGGCTGGAGCCCGAGGATTCGCACCACTCGTCCCGCTGCATTGGCGCGTTTCAATCCCGCCCACCGGCCGCATTTGGTCTTAGATGGTAGCCGCGCGCTCCCTAGTTGGTTAGCCACTGGCATACGTAATGCTCAGTGGGCGTGCGCTGTGAACAAGGTTCGTTTAGGATGGACAGCCGTCGCGTGCTTCCTTCATTTATTTATTTTTTCCACTAGATCGGTTTATGTCGGCAGTTTTGGTTTCGGAACTTTTAGTCGAGCGGCGAAGTTTGGTCTTTTTAAAGCGATAACATCGCAACAAATACAGTTTCGCAGGCAACGGGAATTTAATACTCATGTTGCGTTTAAATGCACACCATACGCACGTGGTGTTCAGTTCTAATGAGCAATGCTTAATTTACTGAGTGACCCAGATTATATTCGCTAATTCCAAACTAGTCTTCATTCAGTTTGAATATAAGTAAATAAAACCCTAGAACGAATAGGAATTTTGTTTGATTGAATATAAAACCATTCTTGATTTTTTTTAAAAATTTAATTTTTTTATTTGCGCATTTCTCTCATTAAGTAATAAAAGAATTTAATTGAAGTAAAGAAAAAGGTTACTGCTCCAAGTAAAGTAAAATCTAAAAATAGAGATTTTGCAGCAGTTATGATCTGAATAATTTTAATTAGCTTATTTAATTTTACTTATTACGTCATCCAAAACAACACTCTGCTTCAGAGACATTTTTAATTAAAATTTTAATTAAAATTGAATGCTCCATTTTTTAATTAAAATAATATGTAGAGGACTATTTGTACTTTAACTATTTTGAAATTATTTTATGCAATGTTTAAGAAATTCTGAGCATTTTCCCTGACAGATCGAAAATAAATTTCTATTTTAACTTATCATATTCATATTTTATCCCAATCTGAGCTTTTTCAAAAATACAGTGTTAATCCGTTGAATTTCTCAAAATCTTCAGATTTTCAACTGGTGGTGCTTTTCACAGCAGATGTGACAACCATATTGATCTCTTAATCCCTCTGATATTCCTGCAAAATCATGCTTCTTCGAAGTTTTAATGGAATAAAAATGAGTTCATAGATTGGTTTCTGATTTTAAGAAAGTGCATAATTTTTTTTTACAATAAAGTAAAAATTTTGCATGTAAATTTAAGTATTTATTTAAAAAAATGCCATGTATTTAAATGATAACAGTTAAGAGAGGTTTAATTCCTTTTTTCTGAAGGGATTAAGAGGTGCTATTGGGACTGCTTTTATGTCTGTTTAATCTTCTGCAAAAAGAAGTGCGATTGTTTAAAAAAATAAGTAATTATTTCCAACCAATTAAAGAATGAGATAAATTTTATTTCTTCGTACAGCATTTTTTTAGTGATAAATCTGGTAAAATATCAAATGATAGAGTAATCAACGTGAAGTTCATTCTTTGTTTGGCATCAGCAATTTTTGCCTTTCATTGGCCTCTTTCATAATTGGAATCCGTAACACAAAGATTTAATTAGAGTACTTTTATTTTTATGAATTATCTAGTATAATTTACTGCTATCAGGGACAAAGAATATTGCCGACATCAGGGACAAAGAATATTAGTTTCGAAGAAAAGGAGCTACATAGAAATAAATGAAGATAAATATGCAAAGCTGAGGGTGTGGAATTTCGTCCAAATTTTTTAACAGTGAAATTGAGTTTAGTTTTATGTAATGTAAAATGTATTTTTGATCTGAATAATTTTAATTAGCTCATTTAATTTTACTTATTACGTCATCCAAAACAACACTCTGCTTCAGAGACATTTTTGATTAAAATTTAATACTTCATTTTTTAATTAAAATAATATGTAGAGGACTATTTGTACTTTAACTATTTTGAAATTATTTTATGCAATTTTTAAATGTCTGTACATCAATACAATATAAGAATTTAATAAATTTTAATTAAATATTTATATTATGCGTATATTTACCTACATACAAATGTTAATAACTCGTTTAAAATAACAGTACTGGTTGAAGTGCTCCTGAAAGTAGACCTATAAGGTGCAATATGTTAATATTATAAGAAACTGTTAATATCCCACTTGTTTTATAAGTAAATTTATTTTTTATATCCTATTTATTTTAAACAATTAAATGTTTTAATTTAGAAAGCTCAGTGTTAAATATTATAATCTTATAAAATTTCAATAATAACACTTTCTTTCAATACAGTAATGCTATTACAGTAATAATATTAGCTAGCATAACAGTGTATGCTAATTATTCTGAAGTATTTGTTATTTAATTCTGAAAAATAATTATTAAATATGTATAAAATATTTATCAACATTTAAAAAGTTATAAGAGCAGCTTCATGTACATTAAATTTCTTAAGCAGAATAGAAGTGTCATAATTTATGCAGATATGTTTACATGCATGTCTGTGCAACGTTCAGCATAAAATACTTGAGTATTTAATTTTTTTTATGCAGCAGTTGCACAATATTTGTCTATCTTGATTTAAATGTGTTCTTCATTAATGATTTGCAGTCATAATTTTGCCCTTTTGTGTTTTTAACTTATTTTATAGTAAATGTTTAGGTAGCTATGATAATACGAAAGCTATGATGGTTAGCTATGATAATACGAAAGCTATGATGGTTAGCTATGATAATACGAAAGCTGTGATGGTTAGCTATGATAATACGAAAGCTATGATGGTTAGCTATGATAATACGAAAGAAATAAATGCGATAGTTCATCGAATTTTGCATAGATGTATTCAGTTAATGAATGAATGACTGCACAGATATCAAAGAGTAGGTATTGTCAACACAAAATAATGCTTCAAACTCAGAATTCAAGTCCTAAAATGACACATCTGAAACTTCTAAATGATAGCAATAGCCGTGAAGAACTGAGTAAATATAATTGTTACAGAGCAACGTTGTAATTGTTCCAACCTCCAAAGCAATACGAATAATTTAATGATAAAATCATCAGCTGTTACGGAAAAAATTTCTGTTTTGCCACTGCAAGAAAGCAGAATTTAAAAACTATTTGACATAAAAAAAAAAAAAGAAGAAAAAATAAAGGAAGAGCTAATATTAGAAAATTTGAATGAATGAATTTCTGCATAACGATAAATTACTATCATAATACATACTTTTAAAATATAAGACTGTATGAGTATATAGGAAAGAATATATCTAAATACCAGATTAAAAAATTTTTTCTGATTTTATTCCTAAACTGACGGGCCCACCAGCGGCCGAGCGGTAAAGGCGCTGAACCCTGGTAGTTCGGTCCGAGGTTCAAATCTCGCGAACGGGCTGGTTGCGTGGGCGTTTTCGTGGTTTTCCCCATGTGTAACGTGTATACGAGGCAGTTTCCCTTAGAAAGTCCTCCACGAAGGCATCGCTCCCTTTAGGCAGATAGCCCTCATGTGCTTTGCCATAATTGAATAATCCCAATCCCATCCCTGAACTGACTCTGCATAATAATAATGATCCATAATAATACTTTTATAGTAACCATTGAAAAAGCTTACAAAAATCTTATTAACTCCTTTGTAGAAACAACACAGATTTTGAAACACAGATATAAAAGAAGCGAAATTCGCTTCTATTTGACATATTATAAAATTTACCGTTAGCATTAATTAATTTTTAATCAGATAGATGCGTAAGATCTTTCTAGCGGGTAGTCTGAAAATGTGCTTGCATATTTCCATTTAATATTTCTATAATACAAATATTTTGTGACTAACATCAAAAGCAATATTGGGGGTGTTTTAAAGCAAAAAGGGTTCTTCATAAATACAGAAATTTATCAATGTTTATTGTTGATAGGTTACTCTTTATGTATATATATGTTTAAAAAAATTATTGTGAAAAAAATGAACTATATTTAGCGTATATTGGATCTTAAAAATCAGTTTAAGCTTATGTTTTACGCATACTATAGTTTAGTTTAGTATACCACAACTACATTACTAGTTTATATATAACTAAAAAAAATCTCAGTGGCGCAACAGCCCTAGTAGGCCACGGCCTGCAGTGTCCCGAATTCTGCTTTCTTTACCTTGGGCCCCGGAGTGCATCAGCATATGCCATGAGCAAGTGGTCAGCTTGTCGTAAGCCTCCCGGTGTTTAGCCCCCAAGCGAGCTTGGGACTCATTTTATCCACCCATTCAAAGAATGAAGGGCTGAGTCAGCCTTGTCCAGCCCGGGGATCGAACCCCGGACCTGCGGTGCAGCTGCGCACTAGTCACTTCGCCGCCGGGCTGTACCAGTTTATATATAAATACATATAATTTCATGAGCTAAAATCTCGGGTCATATTGTCTGCTATACATTACGCTGCCCAGCCCGGTTACTGACAAGCGACTCTTACTGCCGTACCGAAGGGCCCGGGTTCGAATCCCGGAGAAGGCATGGATGTTTGCAAATGTGTAGTGTCTGTGCGGCATGTAGGCCCTCCTGATGTTACGGTCAGACAAGTAAGCTAAGTCGCAACGACAACAGCAACTATACATTCTTTTAAAGCTTTTTGATTTTCAAGCAAATGCTTACGAAATTGAAAGTTGAATAAGGCATTCCCAAAGCTAAAGATTAGCAAGCGAACCCAACTACGTCATCAGTCTCTTTTTCCGATATTGAGCTGCAAGCAGCCGTAGTTTGGTTTGGTTTGGTTTACGGCAAAGCACTCGAGGACTATCTGCCTAAGAGGGATGCCTTTGTGGAGAAATTTCTAAAGAAAACTAGCTTGTATATACGTTAAACATAGGGAAAAACACGAAAACGCCCATGCAGCCAGCCCGTTCTCGGGATTCGAACCTCGGACTGAACTACCAGTGTTCAGAGACTTTGCCATTCGGCCGATGGTTAGCCCCGAGAAGCCGCAAAACCAGCCCTTTGGCGCTGGGTATATATGCAGATTACATTTTAGTAGGCTTCATAATGCATTTTAACGCACTATAAATAAAAAGGTAATGGTTAATAAAAGTTATCCTCTATGATTTAGAGGCTTG